ATGCAAAAAGCATAGGACAGTGTCTTTCTCCTCTTCTTCCCTTCCTGAATTGTCCTTGTTTCACCTAGGAACTCACTAGTGTGTTTTTTGCCAGATGTCTTAAAGGTACAAAACAAAGAATCTAGATTTCTGTGTAAGTAAACTAAAAGGAATCCAGTGCACATGGGGAGCCAGACATAGAAGGTGTAGTACAGATTTCCATCCCATCATCAGCTCTGCCTTCTGTATTTGCTAGTTGTTTGGCATGCTCTACCTGTCTGCGCAATGCTTCTAATGTTGCATGTTGTCTCCAGGAGAGAAATTAGGAGTTTCTCATGTTGTGCTTATGCACAGTTCTCCCAAATTAATTTAAAATATTCACATGTATATAACAGCTAACAAATGAGAAGGCTATTGCTAATTTCCACATAGTAAACAAGCTAAATCATCAGTTTAGTTTTGTTGATATATCCAACCAAGTCAGGGTTTTCTAGTGGGTTTTTTTTCAGTTTTCTTTTGTCGTCTTTTTCCCCTCATCTCTGTAAATGAACTGCTCTTTCTGTTGCTTTGATCCAGCAGAAAAGAAAGGTGTTATAAAACAAGTCCATTAACAACATTTGTAATATTTATCAAATAACTACTTATAAGATTAGAGAGCAGCAAGGCGTTCCAAGGTGTTAAACAATGGCATAATGAATGCCAACAAGGAGGTGAGCCACCATCAAAATGAGAAAGATATAAAGCAACACAACAAACACATTCTGCAGCTCCTTGTCTAAGAATATACCTATAGTTTCCTTGCACACACACTATGTTTGCACAGAAATTATGCAACCACACATGGTAGGTGGAATACTTCATTTACAGATTATTTTAGCCCAGATTCTTTTGCAGTGCCCTGCACTTCAATCCACTGTGGCTTGGATGTGGCAGAGTTACGCAGGTACAAATCAGGCCAGTATTTGTCTCTTTAGTTCAGTACTTATTTACTGAAAGGTAAAAAGGGACATTTCTTTTTATTACAATTTCTCAGCAAACATCTTGCCACAAGTAGAAAACCATTATTATGTTTAAGCAGTGCTATCACAAAACCCAGCACATTTAGGAGCTGTCATGGGGACTGACTAATCTGAGAACATCACTGTCCTCTAAATTGAGCAAATAATTGACACTATTAATGCTAGAAGCCAGTATCTTTGTCTGATCATCAAAGTTTACATTGCAGGATACTTGAGAATGTACATCTCTCCTCACAGAGGAAATAATGAAGAGCTTGGTGGCAAGTAAAAATTGCTGTGCAGAAAATGGGCCTTGGAGTGATTGGCTTCCCTGGGAGTTGGACCTGTGTCTGCTGGCTGGCTGAATTGTAAGAGTAGTCAGCATGACTTCACAGTCTGTCATCTGGATAAAACACGGGAAACAACCTGTGTCTACACCAAGGAGAGGCATTCTGTTATTGCGGGATTTGCGATCTGTTTCTGAATCTAATAGCCTGTTCCCTAACTGTGCACTGATTTGAATTAGTTTTATTGTACTTGCCAGTGTGATGAGTGGCAAGAGTAAAGTTATGTGGTGCTAGGAAATATAAGGTGTATTCCAGTGTTCAGTTATGTACTAGGTCCTTTTCCTCAGAATATTCAGAGCCTCACAAACTCTCAGCATTTTAAAAGGCTGTTGCCCACTTCATCATGATGCTGGATTTGCTTGAATGCTGATAAAAAAGTGCTGGCAAATTTTAGCTGCAACCTGTTCACTCTCCTTGTCCAAGGAATTAGAAGGAAAACCCCAAAGTTTATGTATCACTGTGTAAACTGAGAAGCAACACATGCCCAGAGAATGGTAACCATGAATGTTGCTGTGCAGTGAAAACGATGGTATGCTTGGAATAGAGCTGACAAACCACTATGAAATTCACTGTAAGAGGATGTCTATAAACCACCAAAGGACGAGCTGAGGTGTAGTATGCATGACATCCATTGTCTGAGTGACACAAAATATCCTTCCATGGCATTCCAAGAGGTGTTGTATAACACAGACAAGGCCATGCAGTGCACTCTAAAAGTACTGAGGAAGCTGTTTGGTGTCATTGCAAACCTGCTTCAATTATCTTTAAAAGGTTGTGGTGTTTGGCCAAGGTTTCTGTACTATGTCATGAAAACATGTCATCCCTATCTCTACGAATAACAAAGAAAGAGGATTCAGGGAACTGGACCATATCAGTCTCACCTTGACTTTGGGGAATGTGATGGAGAAAATAACCCTAAAAATAACTTCCAGTTATTTTAAGATGGTGTTTGGATTAGTCAGAATAAATTCACAAGAGGAAATAATATCTAACAAATCTGACAGCTTTCTATGAAGAGCATCTCACTGGATGATGGGAGACCAATGGACCAATGGGTCCCAGACAACCAGATTTGGTGGTCTGCTTCAGCAGGAGCCCAATGGACAAGATGTACTCCAAAGACTCATTCCAGCCTCAGTCATACTGTCATTGTGTAAAATATATCTATGGCATTGCTAAGGACTACAGTTTGTGTGTGCTTGACTCATACACCAAATAAGCAATTCAAATGCACGATAGCAGATAATACAACGTTCTAGGAGCATGTATAAACTGAAGCTGTTTTGTATTCTGTGGCCCAAGCAGCTGGAAAAGTGGATCTCTGCTTACACCATTTAATTACTAGCACAGAGAATGACACTTCCTGTTTGTTCTAAGTAAAGATATGAGCAACAGATTTTGAACTAAGTCTCTGATAAACAGTAAGTGCTTTGGTATCCTGAGCTGCTGTAGTACGTGAATCCCAGGGCATTCAATATTAATTCTGAGTATTCAAAAAAAAAACCTAAAAGAGAGGCAGATCCTGGAAAGAAAACCAGAAATCCCAATCTAGTAGTTGTGCTTCTATCTCTAGCTTTTATTCAGTTTGTTTTCCATTTATTCATTCTTCCTATTCTTAGGAAGAATGCCATTCTTAATGGCAGCAGAGAGTGACTTGGAAAAAGAACAGTTGAAATCAAGTCTGTTGTGATCAAACCTAGTAAGTACACTGTTGGCTGCTGTCTGTGCAATGGTCTTGTTCCACAACTCAGAAAACTAGGAAATCTCTGCACCAGCTAACTGGAGGCTACCGATTCTGTGAAGTAACAAATCACATAGGTTTATTAAAACAAGAACTCACAGCCACACATCAAGTGTATACATGAACACAGAATATTTTTAGGTTATTTATAAGGAAGTGTCTTGAATGGGTCTGCTTTCCAACACTCACATTAACCTGTTTATCATCTTCAAGAACCCTTTTCCTATACAGGACTACCCTGTGGTTCTGCTAACAGTCCTGATAACCCACTCTTATTAAGACCAGACAGACCTATTTTGAACATACTTACAAATAAAAACTCAAGAGAAATGAGAGAAATAATTAAAATGCTATAGATGCAATGCTGGGAATATGGCAATCATACTTCAAATATCTATTTGCTTTTGTTTTTATGACTGCATGTTAACTTCATTAAGTTTTAATGCACACTGGAATGCTGTGAATGACAAGTGGCTAAAAGTGCTTTTAAACAATTCCTTGCCATGACACTTTAAGGAGGACATTGCATTAACAGTTTATTTCAATAATACAAACTTCTGAGAGATTGGAAATTAGGTGTTCCAAATGAGCTTTAAATATAGCACAAGAAGCTTCAGTTTTAATGGACAAAGCCTGTTCCCACTAAATGCACCCTTGTACTGCCAAGAGGGCTTTGAAATAAAATTAAGTGGCAAGTTTGAGGCTATTAGTGTCAGAGTCAGACAAGCCAAGCAATTGTAAATTAAGCTGATCTCAGTATTAAAGAAATCTCTTTGCATGAACTCTTATGTTCCCCTTCACTCTGGAAACCAAGTTATTCCCTTGAGAAGGTACCTGGCTTCTAAGGCATTTGCTGAAGCATGAGAAATACTATAGATGACTGCTTGAATAATTTCCAGATAACAAAGTATCTTTATTTAAAATCAGACCTTCATTAATGCTCAAAGTACAGAAAAAGAAAATTAAATTCAAAGAAACTTATAAAAGCTTCTTGTAAAGTAACAGTACTCCTCGGTAAAATTTTAGGTTAATAACTCCAGATTAGTCAAGACTATAATGCTAGACTGAATCATAACAAGAATTGGTTTTTCCAGGATTTCCTTCTTTGATAAAACTCAGAAGGTATCACTTTTCATTTTGAGGTAAGCAAACTTTGACAACAAAGATTTTAATTTAAACTGAAAAGGAGGGCACAGAAAATGAACAGTAAACAGGAACAAAAAAATAGTATTCACCTTTAAAAGTCTGTGACAAATCAGGACAAGTCAATGAAATTACAGTCTCTGAATGGTCTCTCTGTCCAAGTGGCTGCTAGGTATAACCTGATCATAACCCTCATGTAGTGTCATGTCTGGCATCCCTTCTGGGTGCTTTGGATGCCTTAAGGCCTGGCAAATGCCAGTAGAGGTCTGACAGTAGAGGTCTGAACAACTGAATCAAACTTCTGGTCTAGCCCAGTGAGATACTGGGTTTTGAGGCCCCGGCGATGGTACCAACCAGACCTCCGCCACATACGGCAGAGTTCAGAGCTGTTCGTGCCAGCCCTGACACGGACACACAATACAGGACTCTGTCTCAAACTTACCTCCTCTCAAAGGCAGAAAAAGCAGACATGAACTGTCAGTATAGTGAGGAGCATGGAGAAATGTAAAATCTTTAGTTATATACTGAGAGCACTCAGGTAATTGGAGCTCCAAGATCTTCTTGCCCTTACCTGCAGTACTTGAGTCTTCAGAAAGATAAATATAGTGTCAGAGGCTTCTGATGAATTCTATTTTAATTCCTGATGATTTGCATTTTAACTGCTTAACAAAAATGATATTTACTACTTGTAATTACTGTAACTTTTGTTTCAAAATTGCTACAAAATCAAGTTATAAAAATGTATTTTTAAGGATATGCTAGTGTTACTATTAAAAAAAAAAACCCAGCCAATATAACGTAAATGGTTTTATTCTCAAAAGAAAGTCAGTAATATAAAATATTTTAACATTCTTTTCTGTTTAAATATTGGTGACAGATTACGCATTTGCTCAAATAAAGTGCTGTTTTTACAAATAGGTATTTTGTTTTTATTTTTTACTGCCGTTCTAACCTCATAATATTGAATAGATAAAGTATATTTTGCTTATTGAAGAATGCAGCATTACTTCTCCTTTATATTTCTTCCCATTAAATCATGACATTTTCAATCTAGACTACTTTATCTGTATCCAATCAAGAGAGGCATATTCATCTTATGTATTTCTCCATGTAGAAGGGGGTCACAATTTGTGGTGTCCTTCTTGCCTTCTTCCATGTTTTTGTTGCTCTTGTCTGTGCCCATCTTGGTCTCCCATGGATTCTTCACCTATGGGCAAGAGTGGAATGAAACATCCATCTTCTTGCGTGTTCATTCATTCTTCCTGCTCTTCTGACTTTGCTCTTCCTAAATTCAGACCACTGATGCTTTGAACAATTCAACACTTAGGTTGAACTATAGAGGCAATCTCTTTATTATTTTCTTTGCCTTTCTGAGGGTTTTGTATTTTAAGCATGTTACTGCAAAAAATCCTGTCAGTGTAGTCAGGACTAACTTTTCAAATTTTCATTTGTATGGATTTGTATGGAATCACTTAGTCAGATGCCAAACTTCACCATAAAAAATAAAACCACACTTTTGTTCCAGCAGCTATCTTTTAGAAGAAATGGCTTCCTGTGGTTTCAAAGAGCAGCCAGGAGCTGTAAGAGGGAAAAAAAAAAGAAATCTGAAAAACTGCAACCAGCAAGACTCACAGCTATAAACAAGAGTATAATTCCACAACTACTGAAAACAGGCCCACATTTCCCAATGTACTTGTTATACCAGTATCTAAGTTTGATCCTGTAATTCATTTTACTAATCTTAAGCTGTCTCCTTTAAAGATAAGGTATAAAAACTCAAACTCATGTGTGAAAAGGTCACCTACTGCCACAAAGTTTCCAGTATCCCTCTTTTCTTAATGTGCACCTTTCCAGTAAGCAATTATCTGGATCCTGTATGATTTTTATATGCAAATCTGTATTGATTTTGCTCCTGTTTTTACTTCTCTCTCTTCAATCTCTTAACTCCCTCCTCTGGATAATTTCCACTTGATATTTTTTAGTCTGAATCCAAAAATGAAAATAAATACCCAAATAACTCTGTATCTGCAGGTATGTATGTATCTATCAATGTATGTAACATACTATAATATGTAAAAAGAAACAGGAAGACCAGAATTTCCAGTAACTATAGACTGAATGGTATAATTTTTTTTTTTCATCATAGGTAGAGCTACTCTTCCTTTAAACTTTTGTCTGGAGACTATTCAGTTTATTCTTTTGATATCTATCTCCTGGCTTCGTTCATTGCCCCTGCCAGATGTTTGGATTTTCTCTTTTCTTTCCAACTATCAGAAGTGCTGTTTAGATGGGGGAGAGTAGCTGGATGCGTGTACCAAGTGACAAGGCTGATCTTTTTGTTTCAAACATTTCAATAAACTCGGCATAAAAAGGCAAACTAAGTTAACTGGTACTTAGCTTTACCCCCAACTAATTTTAATAGGATTTTTCATAATGAATTTAAGAAATATCCTAGCAGAAAAAGATTGTGTCCTTCTAAGTATAAACCTTGGATGTTCTCTTGCATTTTTCATATCATTTTTGCAGAAATGGCAAATTCTGTTGCAAGCCATAAATGGGCATGGGAACTTCCATGAAGTGTTTCCATTTTTCATCAGAGGATTTAACATGTAACACTTCCTTACACATTTATTATAACTAGCATAACTAGCACATAAGATTTTATGTCTACTCTTCTGGAGGAAATTATTTCATTCGCTTTTCTCCTGCCCCCACCCCACTTTTTTTTTTTTTTCCGTAAGAATTCACATGACTTTTTTTTAGCTTTTTATTTCTGATTTGGCAAGTTTGTGTTGAAATGCAACTCTGTCTTCTTTGGTGTAATTTGTTTCAATTAACCTGCCAACCACTGCCAGATCTGTTCAGCCTCTTGATTGAACTCAGTTAATGGGAGCATGAATCTTAACAAAGCCCCCCAAAATAAACAGTTAGTCCTGACAACTAGGCATTCAGAAAGTCCAATCTTTTTTACCAGAATCCTGTTAAGCTCACCTCAAACCACAAACCGAATCTTTTCCTGGGATAATACTATTTGTTAAATCCCATTCTCTCAGAAAGATGGACTTTATGCTGCCACTTGCTGTTTCTCTGAAGTTGGAATCAAGACAAAGGATCCAGACATTTTGTTCCTCAGAGCAGTCATTTTGCCTCATGCCTCCATGGGCTGGTTATCTGCTCTAAATGGTAAACCAGCACAGTAATTCTGTGTTTGTTGGACACATTCACTGGGCTATAAAGGAGCAGTATCTTCCTAGTAATTTCTATTATCATGGAGACGGTGCATTGTTAATTTTCCAAGATGTAATAGTAGTAGTCAAACCACCAAGTGTCAAAACCTGCCAAAATGTTCACTCTTGGAATGAATAATTTTATCACAATTTTCTAAAAATGACCAACTAACTTCCATTTAAAAAAGAGATGGAGGCAACATTGCCCATGCAAGTACTGTTTGCCTATTCAGAATTCATAGTGCCTCCAAACCTAATGGCTTGGATGTCCAGTAATCTCTGAATCATTTACACTCCTCTGCCTCATGCCAGTCAGACAAGGACTGTAGCAAGGAATTCACTCAGCCTAACCTAGTGTCCCTGGCATGGGATGGGGTGGAAGGATTCCATTTCAGAAACCTTTATGTGGGAGTCCAAGACAGCTTAACCAGAAGTACTAGCAAAAAAGAATATGAAACAAATACACAAAGCAAGTAATAGCAAATTCTAAGCCAGACGTCCTAGAGAAGCAGGATTAAACAGCAGAACTGCTGTGTGCAGAACACGTTGTTGTTAAACTGTCACATTGTGGAGTTGCGTTATGTATATGTTTTATTATCCCTGTATTATGTATTGGTTCGGGGCGGGAGCGCGGCAGTCACATAACTGAGATGTGGTAATAGTGACACAAATCTTTTTAATGGTTCAACAGGAAATGTAGAGAAACAGACCAGTGAGGTGGACAGTAATACCAACCAACAATCTGAAATTTTGTTGGAAACAATCAAGAAGGGATTTTAGAAGTCTTGCCTCACCAACCTACTAGAATTCCTTGAAGGTGCCAGCAGTCTTGTAGATAAAAGAGGTCCATTTGATGCTTGGATTTTGATAAGGCATTTCACAAGGTCCAAAGTTAGCCATAAGATAACAAGGAACCCACAGGGCAAAAATAAAATTTCTTGTGTGGATAAATAATTTGTTAGGGAGGCAGAGGACAGAAGATTGCAGTAAATAGTGATTTTTTCCATAGTAGAAAGATTGACCACTAGTATTTCATAGGCATCTGCAAGAGGATATTCAGGATATGAACAGTATATTCAATATATGATTTTGAAAGGGCATATAGAATGAAGATAAAAACCTTCCTAAGTTATCCATATAAATAAAAAGAAAGATATAGAGAAGACTGGCAAAAAGATGTCATATGACATCTGTGCCTAAACAATAAGATAGTGACAAAATTTGGTGAAGATAAATATGAAGTAATATGAAGTAAGGCAAATGGAAAAGATTATGTATGTGTGTTTATATAAAATTATAGGCTGTGAGCTCAAATTCAGTAGATCAGCTGGGTTGTAAGAGGTAATTTGAATTATTACCAATTCAGTCTTCAATTACAGCCAACACAGCAAAGTACCAGAAATAACTAGAAAAAGACAAGAAAATGGAAAGCACAGAACACAACTGAAAAACAAACATCAGTCTGTCATGTAAATCCATAATATGCCTACATATTGAATACTGTTTGTTAGGCTGGTACCTCCCAAGTCTGAAAAGACAATAGCAGAAAAGGAAAAGAGGTTAGAAAACCTATGGTATGGGGAATGACAAAGCAGCCTATAAGCCTTCCCCTTAAAAAAAACATGAATGAAGAAGGATATCACAGTGATCTGTAAAATCATCAGTGGCATGGAGGCAGTGAAGAGGAATCAACTGCTCACTATATCTTCAGATCCAGTATGATGAAGCAAAGGAAGTCAGGACATGGCAAGTTCACAGAAAATGAAAACAAGTAGCTCTTCAAATCAGTGTCAGATGAGACTGGATGAAAAAGTTGAACACAACGGTATGGACCTTGGATCTGCCTTGGTACAGCTGGTCTTATGCTCTAAAATATTATACATTCCTGGAAATTACTTCAAGTTCCAGAGACTGCATAAGGATTCCACTGCTACTTTTTACAATCGAAAGCAGCTTACCTGGTGCAGAAACTTCTTTTAGCTACATGTTCTCTTCCTCTTCTCTGTTAGTGCTTCTGTTTTACAGCCAAATCTGTATCACGGAGCTCTCATACACAAAAACCTAAAAGCCAGATCTCTGATGGCAGTCTTCTTGCAGCCTCTTATCAAAAGCTCAACAAGAACAACTGTTGCCTCCATTTTTACAAAAGGATGTTGTCCCCAACACTGAGCCACCATTCTTGTCCTTTGATGTCTTCAAGACACTTAAGGTCAGCAAGTTGCTTGGAGATACATCACACCTCTATGCTTCTTTGGTTCTTGAGTAATTCCAGTTCTTTGTGTAATCAAATCCCATACAGCTTCTGCTCACTTAGTAAGACCTTACAGAAGAAGCTCTTCAACTCTGGGATGTTACCAAGAGACATCCAGAAGTTCCCACACATGCTGACTGTTCTGAGAACTGAAAGTTGCACAAAGCATACAGGGACATCCAATAGTGGCTTTCAGCCAAGCAGACTACACAGAATACTGGAAGTAGCCCACATTCACTAACTACCCCAGCAATTCCCAGTTTGCCCCAAGACATCAGTAGGTAAACAGTTATCACCTACTTTCACTTATCTAGTGAAATGCAGCTCACTGAGTTTGGAACAACTGGGACTAGCTTGTTATTAAGGTTTCCTAAAGCATGCAATACCTGAATTATTTAACATAGACACTAAACAAATGAAATTATTTTGCGAGTAGATGAAAGCAGCAAAATAAACAATTGAAGAAGAAGCACTATTAACATGGTGAACTTCTTAAGGCTATTCAATGGCTTTTGTTGTTTCTACTAAAACATGGATACAGAAGTACACATGGGAATAGGTTATACCCTATGCTATAATATGGAGTAACAGATGAGTATCTGCCTTTGTTTCAGGTGGCTGGCAGGACAGAGATTTTCAGTTTTTATATCTGAGAGAGTAGGAAATGTATTCAGTTATTACAGGTCAGCAACACTTTCCTGTGCGTTCAGTACATTTCAGAAAGCAGTTTCTCCAGCTTGGTGCTTGGAATACATGTATCCCAAAGAAACCAACTATAGATAATCATATAAAAATATCACCTATGCAAAATAACTAAATGCATACATACAAAAATATATAATTAACATAGCTGTCTAAATCATTATGCTAAATTGTAGATCTTTAATATATTTATTCTACCTGATCATACTAAAGTGTCTCCTATAAAGAGTATGCTAAAGTTAATTACACATCATACAGGAACACCTCCCACTGATGCTACATATGTACACACTATAGACAGTGTACTGTATACTCTGATTTGCTATACTTACATCCATTTTCTGTTTAGTAATGCAGAACAAAAATCTTATCCTTATTTCAGATAGTAATGAAGGGTGTATAAACATCTTAGAGATACCTCTATTTTTTTATATTAAAATCTTCTCTACAGTCTTAGCAAGAGACAAACATCATTAGCCAGGAAAGCAGCTAACTGGCTTGTTTGTCACGTTCTGTCTTCCAGCCAGTACTAAATAAAGTAGCCACACACTTGGACATTAGGAAGATTTATTTAACTGAATGAGTGATTAGACATTGGAATGGACTGCCTAGGGAGATGATGGAGTTACCATCCCTGGGGGTGTTTAAGAAAAGATGGAATGTGGCATTCAGTGCCATGGTCTGGTTGGCATGGTGGTGTTGGGCCATAGGTTAGACTGCATGACATCAGAGGTGCTTTCCAATGTAACTTATAGTGTGATTCTGTGATTCAACCTGTAATTAATTTTTGAATTAAATTCAGGTGCTACTTACATTGGGAATGACCTGGCGGTCGTGTGTTACTAACACTACTCTCAAAGGAAGAGTGGAAGTTGTGTATAGTTTCTTGTAAAATCTGTCTCTCTCGACCCTGTAAAAACAATAAAATAAAATAAAATAAAATAAAATAAAATAAAATAAAATAAAATAAAAATAAAAGGTAGTTTTAAATTTCTGTTTAAAAAATGAATTTATTAAGAGTACACAACAATGCGTAAATATGTTCAGTATACTATCAGAAATAATAACAAATCCTTACTTTACAGACATATATATAAAACCTTGTAGTAATCTTTACCTGAAACTACCAGACAACAATAGAAACATTTTCATTATTTTCTTCCTATCTTTATGGCATATCTTAGTATGGAACATCATCCCTCCCCTCATTTTTAGCCTCATCTCT